ATGGCCTTTCTTCCCACGACAAAATTGCTGAGATGGTGGATGAATCAAAGTTCAGCCCTTTCCATGGCTGGAAGCTCTTGGATCTGAGGCATAGTGTAGTAATCGGGGTGCCTTAACTCTGGCATTAATGTCTCAATGTCAGCCCCATGTCCATAAACAATTGTTGCTTCACCAGCACATTGCTTATTAAGTGTAATCAAAGAGCCTCCCTTCTGGACACCATTGGGTTTTTGGTTAGCTTTAGGAGGTGAGATTGTTTCCGTAGAGCTACCGTTTTCATTAAAACCATCTGCAAAAAAGGTTGCGAGAAAAACAAATAACAAATATTTGTCATTGATTATTCTAAAATATAACTCAAAAAGATGAAGAAGTTAATTAAGCCCCTATGAAAGATCATCCAAATGGAAACAACAACAATGGGCCAATTTAAAACCCACCTAATGAAAAATCTTGAATTTTAAGCCTTTTTTTTATATTTCCCAGACTCAAAGAAATGCTTTCCCCCATCACCGCAATTTCTTGGGAGAAGAACTGGGTTGATGTTAGGAAGTTCGTACCTGCCACTGCTGATTGTGATTCCTTGCAGTGATTTCCCAACTCTGTCATTCCTCAATGCCAACAGGTTGAACTGAAATTTGAAAATGAACATTAAAAAAAGAAAAGAGACAGGAGGCAAAGGAATGCCTAATAACAGCACGATAAAAATTTTTACAATTGTGGTACTAAGGTCAAAATGTGAACTTTCACACATATTCTTCATGACCATATAATTGGATCTCTTTCTTTTTAAAAGGAGCAATATACATTAAGGTTTAAGGACCATAAAATGAGCATGAACTTAAGGATCACAAAAGAATTTACCTTTAAAAAAACTTCCTAAAAACTTCGTACTTTGTTTATTTCTTCGTATGAATGCTTCAAAACTTCCTAAATACTCTATAAAATATTCCATACAATATAACCAGTTACTCCATATATATAAATTGAACAAAACTATGAAAAAAAAGATTAAAGTATTAAAAAATTACATAACACTAAATAAAAACAATTAGATATGTTATTACCATTAAAGAATTATTAAAAGAATACAATTAAATTGAATAAATAAAACCAAACAATTATCACCATACACCAATTCTGTATTACGGAGTAAATACCCAAGATTTGAAGTATTAACATTTAATTTTAAAATTTGAATTAAAAAAACCTGTCCAAATTGGTGGCTTGGAGTGACGGGCAGAATTCCTCTCGTGGCGGTAATGAAGAACTTTCGCAGCCTTCTTGAGGACGTTGGTTACAATATTTGTTTCTCCCAGAGAGGCCATCATGTCAAATATTCGATGAATAGGTCTCCGGTCTTTCGTCTTCATCAGAGGGAATGACCGTTCTTCAGGGAGGAGAAAGAAGAGAAAAACCCTTAAAATAATTAAAAAAGGTTATGTGCTCCGTACCAGTTAATCGGAAATGAAAAATGTGCTTGGTATTCCTCTTCTTCTTTAATTGTCAGTTTTTTAATCCTACATGGCATGGCATTTTTATGATGAGTCAGCAGAATAATCTTAGGTGGCATGCCACATGGCGTAACGACAATTAAACCGCTCTACTTTATATATATAAGGCTTTCGACTCTGGCCCCCCTCTCTTGACAGTCTATCCAACACATACTCATGTAAAGAAGAACAAATATTGGTGTCATTCTCAGTGAACATGAAACTTCCATAACATTCAAACAAATATTGGTGTCATTCTCACTGAACATAAAACCTCAAGAACGTTGAGAACATACCAATTGATGACTTCCCATTTAAGGAATTTCCTTTTTTTTATTTCTTCAGTATTATGATCAATTTCATCGATTACACTTTCAATCCAGCCTTGTCAAACCCTAAACTCGTTTCTGAATCAGGTTTCTCGAGTTGGTCTTCTATTTTATATCCCAATTCAAATCACAACCGCAACAGATTCTCATTGGATGGATTTCCCAAAAAACTTTTAATTAGATTATGTTATTATTATACTCGGATAATCAAAACACATATAGCAACTGAAAACTCTCAATTGACATCCAAGTATATTATAGAACTATTAATGTCTTAATAGTTTCATTCAAACTTCAAATAAAGCATTTAAATAATGTATTAAAAGCTTTTAAAAAGACCAATAGATTCGAGAAAGCAGTGAGAAAAACTGAGAAAGAGAAAAATATTATCCATATCTTGAAAGTGTTGAAAGAACCTTCATGGTTGAGGTTTCATCTTATTTCAACATATGCAGGACAGAACAACAAATTTAGTCTTCACTTGCAAACACTGTCCCTCCACGTCTTTTCCCTTTATATCCACACGCACTGTCCTGAATATCTGCTAAAAATAATTTACAAATAAAACATCGTCTTCAAATTTCCATATCATTGACTTACTCACTTCATTCACTAAATATGTTCCTTGAAAGAAATTAGAAACTGAGGTGTCAAAGGATAAAAAAATAGAAAGAATTGTACAAACTAAAAGATGTTATACATAAGACCTTACTTCTTAATATTGTCCCTCGTGATGAAAAGATGTTAGAATCAGAGTCATGGTGCTGGGAAGCGGCCTGGTATTTGATGAATCACCTGCCAGAATTAGAAATTAAATACTTGTTCATGCTCTAGAATTAGAAATTATAAATTCTCTTTAAGGGATTTTGTTGAACACCTTGGGTGCAAACTTTTTTGATAGGATCTAAGGATTGATTCAGAACCATTCAAAGAGCCTGCTCCTGCAGCCATATGGTATTTGCATAAGATTTAAAAAGAAAAACCAAAATGAAGATATCCCTCTACTTCTGGGTATTCTTCATCATCCTTCAACATTATTGTAACATTAATTGCTCATTTGCATTCTCTTCTTCCATAGATGAAGCTGCTCTTCCATCATTGTATGCTCATATGATCTATGTCCCTTCTTCACTGGGAACACATTAATATAAGTAGAAGTAAGATTTATGGATTTACCAAAGACATCCATCGCAAACAAAATACAAATTGGAATTGGACGGATATGGTAAATTGTTTACGGTATGAAGTTGGAGAACCTTGGTGGAGAAATTGATCGATTGCTTCTCTCTTGAGCAATTAGTATAGAACCTTGGTGGAGAAGATTCAGCTAATGCTTCACTGTGAACTTCGTTAGTGTGCATTTTGGCCTAAAGTGATTGCCAATTGATGGACTAGTCGGATCAAAGAGAAGCTATTTCCATTTCTGTGCCAAACCCAACTGTCAGTATTGCCCAAAAATTACTGCTTGGTCATTAATGAGTCCTTTTTTGTAAATGACAAAACCATTAAACTATGCCAAAGCAATGTGGTCTCAAAAACAACCCCTTACTAAGATAAGTTTATAGGTCCTCAGACTTGTTATCTATAAAAAAGAATACAAACCATTTGTTATTTGAGAAGCCTAGTTGTTAAGAATATTTATTCCAAAAAAAAGAATTGGAGAGGAAAAGTTACGCCTATTGGATTACCTTTTCTTATCCTTCCTGAAGAGGGATGCCTTCTCTACCAACCATATTTGAGTCTTTATGAACCACCTACTTAGGAGGAAACTGTAGCTTCACGGTCCATCAACTTCATTTCTCTCTTTTGCTCATCCATTGACTGAGAAAAATAACAACACCCAAAGAATAACTACATGAAAATAATGGTTTGAAGACACATTATTCATCAATAACATGATTAAAACTAAGATTCATCAATAACATAATTCAAACCTTCACTGCAGATATGCCAATGCAGCCTTCCCAAACAGAACCTAGACTACAAACAATATCAGGCACATTCATAGTATACTCGTGGTAACCTATCAAAAAAAGAACAAATATATTGACAGTGTAACACTAATTTAAATTACCCCACTGTATTGGCTCTTGATCTTAGGTAAGCTTATGAAATACACTCAAAACTGTAGATTGATGCACTCAAATAAAGATAATTATTAGAGAATAATTGAAATATCAAGTGCAAAAATATATCAAATTACATATATACCACAAAAAAATGAAAGAATTTTTTTTAAATTGAATAAAACTCGAATAGAAAGCATTACCTTGCTACCACGTTGAAAGAAGAAGAAGACTAGTAGATCTACTCCCTGACGCGGGTGATGTTGCTGCCCAAGAATTAACCTTACAGTTTCTACATTCTTAGCATCTCTAAAAGAAGAACGGTCCGTTTACACACAATCACCGAAGAGGAAGATATCTGCCCCCACTGCGTTTCCAAGACGGGGTTGTGGACAGTTCACATGAGTGGAAATATTCACAAAGTACATAGACAATGAGGCGATCACTACGCGAAAAATGATATTCCAAATCTGCATCAAAGAACCCCGCGTCTTTCATCTCCAAATAGTATGCCTCCTCCAAAAGCCAATCTTCTTCCTGAATTGTTTGTTGCCCCCAAATAGAACAACGATTAGTATAGAGGTGACTCAAGTGACAGATGAAGCTCAAAGTGCATATAAGAATGTCATTCTTTATTGGGAAGAAAAAAATTGATCATTGTAACTACCTGAAAGAAGTCGGCTAAAAACACGGCATATATTAAGGGGAGATACAGTGAGTGGTAGCCAATTACACCCAAATCATTTAACCTGCACCATTAGCCATTCATGCCATGTTAGATAATAGACACTTAGAAGCAATTTTAGATATGCTCGGATGTAAAATTCTAGAAATGAAATATGTGATACCAGAGACCAAAGCCAATCCCAAATCCAGCAAGCCAGGTGGTGTTGCTGGCCTAGCCCAGCTCTGCCACCCGTAAGAAGTGCATCAAAGGGGTTAAAGAGATTGGAACAAATAAATGCACCTCTTATTTAGCATGTCAATCACCACCGAGTTGTGCCCTTAGCTATTCTTAATTTGAGAGTTTCTATATGAATTTGATGAAAAAAAATAGAAATGTACCGTAGCCGCCGAGCAATGTTGAGAAAGATGAAGAATTGTTTATTGTACTTTTGCAACCACGACGTTCACCTTTACCTCTCCCTCAAGATGCGCTCTTCCTAAAGGTCTGCCCGTAATCTCTGTTTTCATTCTGGTCGATAGAGTACTCCCTCTCTTTTCCCTCTCCGATCTGCGCTGTGTGAAGCGCGGCTGCCAGAAGAAGCCTTCGACAATACCCTTCTTCTAATAGTTGTTTCCAATGGATGTACGAAGCTGGAAATCTTCTCCCACATCTCCATAGGACCAAACCCCCACAACCCTCTTAGTCTCAAAGCTGTACCCTACGATTTTCTTGCACACAACCACATGAATATACAGAATCTGCAAATCCTCATTGAACCCAGAGGACCTTATGGAATTCCCCACAGTCACTCTCACCCCCGTCTCCCTCCTCGTTTCTGAAATTAAATCGTCCAGAACCACAAACCGACGCAATTTCCATAACGATTCATAGGTGTGGTTGCTGAACTCCCAGATTCGGAACCCGTGTTCATCCGGGTCACAAAGATTCAGTTTGCCCTCCGATTCCCATAGCGAGCGGTGGCAGGGATTGTTGTATGAATATGATGATCCATTGGGGTTTCTTGGGAGTGGCAAAACTGTGAATTCATCGCCGTCTTCATCAAAGATTAAGAGACAGAAGCACCATATCAGATGTAATCTTGAGTTCATATAGATTGCAGGGCCGAAGCACTGTCCAAACACGAAGCCCTCTTCGGAAATCAGACCCGAATTCAAGAGCTTCCCCTGTTTCTGCATCCACTCCCAAGATTCAGACCTGAAAACCATAGAGTTCACAGAAATGGAGAGGGGATTCACCTCGTTCCAGAAAAAGCCCACGACTTTGAATTGGGCGTTCTTCCTCGGGTCAAAGGCCAGTGCGACGAATGCGGGTCTGTACATGGAGTTCGAGGGAGGGAGGGCTATGGATTGGTCGGAAACCTGGGAATGTACGATGTAATTCCAAGTCTTTTTGTCGTCCACGGCGCCGTAGAGGATTAACCCGTTGCATGAATCGATCAAGAAGGGGAATTTGTTCGGGGCGGAGGAGTCGACGGTGCAGAGCTCGACGTTGTGGGGGTAGTGTAGCTTCAAGAAGACTGATTTTTGAGAGATTCCGGCGCCTCCGAAGGACCGGAGTCGGTGGCGGGCGGGTGGTGCAGCCGGACTCTGGCAATCAACTGCCGCCATGATTTGGAAACGGTCTCCAGCTTCGCTAGGGATTTCAGGGGGACGAAAGAGAAGATGGTTTCGGCGATTTCGTCGCATAGATCTCCGAACTCTGTCGCCGGCGGGATGACGGCCATGGCGACTGCCTCTGCTTCTTTGTCCCTTCCCCCTGTTTCTTGATTTTTTTGGGTTTTTATTTTGAGTAGTTGGGGAGAATTCTTTATTTATTTTTGAAAAGAATATGCATGTGTTTTTATTTTGGGGGTTACATAGATAAGTTTTCTTATTGTCCCTCTTAAAATACATACGCCAAATACATATTTTTTTGAGTTTATACTTGGTTTTCTTTTTTAGAAGGTTTATTAATTTATACAAGGTATTCAAACTACTCCTTTCGTTTAAAAATTATCTTTCCATTATTAATTACGATGTTTGATTGAAGTTATTTTCAGATGACTTTATATAAAAAATAGTGCGTAATTTAAATATAAGAACTACATATTAAAAAACAACATTAAAAGATTTACAAAATTAGAGTTAACATCACTATATTATTTTATTAAAGAGATACTGAAAGTAATTTAATACAATGAATAAAGTTTGACTCAGATAAGTGAATAGTAAACGTGAAAATAACTTTGGATGAAGTAAGTATTAAATTGGAATTGAGAAGAATAAAAGCATGGAGCTCCTATTTTGATATTTTTTTATGTTTTAATCTATTTATGGTGAATTTTTAATGGTTTTTATTTTGGCGTTATATTGAGGACTTTTCTTATTGTGGTCCTAAAATGCAAATGTTACATATAGATATGTTTACATTTTTTTTATGAATTTATAGTTAAATTTCTCTCTTCTTACAAGATGTAATACACATAATGAATTTATATATTGATATTAAAATAAATAAAATAAACAGGAATCTAAAACTCATAAGGTAGCATTTGGATTTGGGAATTCATTTCAATTCTTGAATTTCAAATCTATAATTTGAAATCCCAAAATTTAAATTTATTCCAACATTTGGCAAAAACATGAAATTCAAAATTCATAATTTGAAATCCAAATGTATTTTGGATGTTAAATATATTCTATATTTATTATATATATTGTTTCCTATTATACAATCATATCTTGTATAAGATTGGGAACACTTGTATATATAAACACATATACTCTCACACAATAATCTCAAAGAAAATACCATTCTTCATGGTATTGGAGTCATATTTATCAAAACCATAAAACCCTAACCCTCCTCGCCTACCCGCCAGCCACCCCCTACCCGTCACCTTACCCGCAACCTGCACCCCCCCACCCGCAGGATCCCAACCCCACACCCACATATTTAGCACACAAGTTTGATACCATGACCTTTCGATAAACCAACATGGTATTTTGGCAAGGGAGCCACGCATCACATCGTCGTCTCTGATCCAGGTACTATTTCTCATGTCTCTTTTCAATCATTAAATTCTCCATTACATATCATTGTTGGCAATGGTTCTAAGGTAAGCACTATGGTGGTGGGAAACCACACCCTTTCCACTAATCCTCCTTTATCCCTCAATAATGTCCTCACCTCCCCACACATGCACTATCCATAACCTTATTTTCTTTCGCCAATTTACGCGTGATAATAACTGTTCTATTAAATTTGATGCACATGGTTTTTCTTGAAGGATCCTCGGACGGGAACTGTGATACATTGGTCAAATAACACCGGCCCACTCTACCCCTTGCATCCCGCGCCCCCAACTCAAGCCCACAGTGCATCTGTTGACATTCATACATGACATCGCGTCTCGGTCATCCTAGCCCGGCTGTTCTTCGTGGTGTCCCCAGTGTCTCTAGTCTTTTTAAATATTTTACTAATTATAATTTATGCCATGCTTGTCAATTCGGAAAACATATTCGTCTCCTATTTTATCCTTCATGTCGTGTTTCTTCATTCCCTTTTGAACTGTTACATATTGATACCCCTGTTTCTTTCTTCACAAAAATATGATACCCATTTTCCCCAAAGGGAAACAACAAAGGGTATTGGAGTGGTATGAAAGTAGTGTGTGTCTCATGGATTTTTTGTAAGAATCCATTTCTTTTTGTGACGATAATGTCCCTTTCTGGATTGGATAAATTAAAATCTCCAACGACTAAAGCAACAACTTCATCTACTATGGGGATATTGTAATTTCTCGAGTCTCGAGCTCTACTCCTTAATAGCCTCAGTGATACATTAGAAGTGGGCTCATTATTCATGAAGTCTCTAGCTCTCCTGAAACTTTGTGCCAAAACATTATGTTCATCTATCATATTTTTCAAATCCTCGACTAAACTTCTATTAGTAGTTAAAGTGTTATTCCCTTTACTGCATAATACAAAGTGAAAAATTGTTTATGTTAGTATGTAAATAATGCTCTATAAGTATTGTTAAAAGAGTCACTTAATAAATTCTTCGAGATACCTGAAATGAGTCATCCTATTTGTCATCTCGTTTTGTGTATCATAAACATACAATTGAGTAATTCTCGGTCTCCCACCCTCTTGTGGGAACAAAGATGGTATATGATGACGACTGTGCCCTTTTTAGAGTAAACTACGGAGCTGCTCCACCATTGTTTTGAGATGCAAGACACGGTGTTAAACAAAATTTTTGTCGCTTCTGTAAATTATTTTGAATATAATATTTTTAATGAATTAAAGAAAATATATGTAATGCATTCTTTAACATTATAGACATTAAAATCAAAGTAAAATAAATAACTTATCATTTAATATTTGGTAGTGAAAATTTATATATAAAAATTTAAAAATTAACACCTCAAAGTATTTTTTAATCTATATTTTTGGAAAGAGTTTAGAGTATAGAACATTTTTGGTTTGGTTGCAAGGGTTTTCATTATCATCTAGAACTAATATTATAAACCATATCTTTGTTTTCACTCGTGAAACAACAACATAAAGTTGACCATGACTGACCACAAGTGAACACTGGCTTGGTTAAAAAATTCTAACAAATGACAATGTTTGACCTTTACTTTTGTTAATAGTCATAGGAAAACATATAACTATTGAAAATTGTCTTCTCTAGAACTTCATGTGTAGTCATAGATCAAGCGATACCAAATTCATTCTAGGTATTTAAGCATTTTCCCTTACTGAATTTTTCAAAACCATAATTGCACTGATAACAGAATCAGTACCCCTTTTTTCAAAACTATTTTGTTGTTTGGGATTACCGAACATTTGATTTCATTCAAAAACTAAATAGTTATCGATCATCATGAAGAATCTGCATTTGCTTGGCATGAGAATCAAGTATTCTTTTTCATCTTCAGGAATGAAAGACATGACAAATTCATTTATCATTTCAACTACTTCAAGAGTTAGTCTTAATAGTGTCATATCCTCAAAAAAGAATAAGTATTCATATTCTCTAATTTTTTACTAATATATTTTAAGAAATTTAAATGGTCAAACATACTATTTAGAAAACAAATCAGAGTGTTAGAAACAATAGAATTACTAATTCTTAAGATTAACCGCGTGAAACGAATAAAAAACTACTCCATAAGAAATTACTAATTCATTGGAAATTTAAATGATCAATGCATCATCGTTTGCAAAAAATCAATTTATAGACTATACTGATGCATCATATTTGTATGAGAAGAATTTCACTATGAGATGCATCAACTTTGACTTTTAGAATACAAAATAAAAGGATGCATTGTCTAGAGTTACAATGCATATTATATTCTCGGTAATGCACTAGATTTTACCCGTGCGTTGCACGGTAAGTAGTTTATTTCAAAATGTAGAATTTAAAAATTTCACAAAATAAAATATTTGTATACAAACTTAAATAAAACTAAATGCTATTGAGTTGGTTTTTTTAGAATATATATATATATATATATATATATATATATATATATATATATATATATATATATATATATATATATATATATATATATATAAATATATATATATTTCCTTCATAACAAAAATTATACCTCACTTATATCCAATGAGTACAAACAAACAATAGAGCACACCCTCAAGAACATTTAATAATGTATCAATAAATAAAAACACAGTTATCATTTCTCAAGGATACATTTAATGCTCTATGTGTTAGTGTTTCATTTATTTCCATGAACACACACATACACATACTTTATACATTTGAAAGTAAAATAAAAAAACTACATGATACAGGCATACAACATTTCAATACCAAGCACAAATAAGCATACAATAAAACTCAAACTCAATAGAGTAACTATCCATGGAGTATAAATCTGTCAAGGCATAGGATGCCCAAAAACAAAGTTCGAGAAGACCAAAACATTTACTTTAATAATTATTGTTTGGATCAAATTGAACTCATAATCTAGAATAGGTTGTTACAAACTTAAACACTTCGTAAATTTCTACGGACTTAATTTTTTTCTGAATTTATTTTTATTGTAAAAAATAGATTGATAAACCATGTTTTCCTAAACCAAAAGCACATATTTATTTTCATTGTTCTTTATGAAGTCTAATAATAAATATGACAAAATTTTCATAAACATAAAATTGTGTAGAAAAACATTACCACATGATCACGTAATGTACCTCAAAACCAAATAAAATTACACACTTCAGTATAGAATTGATGGTGTAATTAAAAACATAATAATTTTAAATATCAAATTTTAAAGATAAACTTTTACTCAAATCTAAAGGGAAAATATGGCTAGATTAAGAATTGCATAAAAGTATATCCTCAACATTTTAAAAATGAAATCAAATGCAGATTAATTTTTTTAAAATGCCCAAACATTAAGAATCCATCAGACTTTAGAATCTTTTAGTATGAGGTTAACATCAAAATATTGAAATTGGATTTTGAAAAGTAGAATTTGATTTCAAAGGGGCATATCAATCTCAAATTCCAAAAAAAAAGAGTATAAAAAAAGTAATTTCAAATTTGTCCTATAATGATAATTATTTTATACTATTAAAGTGTGTGACATATCAATTTTGGAAATTTCTTAACACTCTATTTGGAAATTTATTATCACTCTGTTCCATTACATTCTCTTTTAGTCTGAAAAGTAGAATTTGATTTCGAAGGGGCAAGATGTGCATATTAATCTCAAATCCAATAAAAAGCATAAAAAAATTAGTTTCAAAATTTTTTGTTTGAGAGTGTTAAGAAATTTCCCCTCAAGCTTTGGTAGAACGTAAGCTAGAGATTTATAAGTTGTAAAGACACGGAAACTTATAGAATCTCAAACCATTTAACAAAAGCTTAAATGGGTTGTGATTAATGTTGCCCCTTAACACCA